GAATTCTACAGACAACTTCAATCAACACTGGACAAGACGTCAGTTGGCGATATCAAAATTCTAATGGGCGACATGAATGCCAAACTGGGAGAGGACAACACGGGAAGAGAAATAACCATGGGTCGAGAGGCGCTAGGTGAAATGAATGAGAATGGAGAATTGTTTGCAGAATTCCGCGCATTCAACGATTTGGTGATTGGAGGCAGTGTGTTCAGGCACAAAGATATCCACAAAGCGAGCGACATGGATTTCACCAGATGGACACACTAAAAATCAAATCGACTTTATCTCAATCTCAAGAAAATGGAGACGCAGTCTACTTGACACAAGGTCAAGAGGAGGAGCAGATGTAGGTTCACACCACTCACCATCTAGTGCAAGGAACCTTCCAAATCAAGTTAAAAGCCTTCAAGGAAGCTGGTGATAGACCTCAATTCAAGTACAACACTCGGAAACTGAAGGATGAAACTACAAAGGAGATCTTCACATCAGTCAGCCATCAAGACAAAATGGGAGATATCGAGGAAGATCCCTGAAGAAACCTGTGTGGAAGAACACTGGAAGTTTTTGAAAGAGATGTGGAAAGAAACCTGCACAGCTGTATTAGGAAGGAAGAAGAAAGAAGACAAGGAATGGATCTCGACGGGTACATGGAAGCTGATAGAGCAGGGAGAGGAGGATGGTGAAGCAGAAGATAAACCAGTGCAAAGATGCTCAGCGACAGGAAGAACTGAGCACGATGTATAAAACACTGGACAAAGAAGCGAAGAAGAGTGCACGCAAAGACAAAAGACACTTCTACGAAACACTGGCAAGTGAAGCAGAACAGGCTGCAGGTAGGAGAGACGGAGACCCGACGACATTGTATCAAATAACCAGGTTGCTATCTGGCAGGGAAGAGATCAACACAGATGAAACCAATAAAAGATGATGACGGAAATTTAATTACGAAGGAAGAGAAACAAAGGAAACGATGGGCTGACCACTTCAAGAAGCTCTTGAATCGACCACCACCTGCACTTCGTCCAGAAATACCACTTGCAGCCGCTGAATTACAAGTGAACATAAATGCCCCAACGAAAATGGAAGCCCTGAACGCCATAAAGCTACTGAAATGCGGGAAAGCAGCAGGACCAGATGGGATACCGCCAGAAGCACTGAGAACAGATGCAGAGACAACAGCAGACATGCTCACACCACTATTGCAGAAGGTGTGGAAGGAAGAGAAGGTACCTGTCTGTTGCTTGGAAGAAGGGTTACCTTGTCAAACTGCCGAAGAAGGGAGACCTCAGTGTTTGCAAGAACTGGCGCGGAATCATTCTCCTGTCCACCCGGAGCAAGTAAAATATTAAGCTACATCAACCTGGAGAGGCTTAAGGATGCACTGCACTCAAAACTACGACCGGAACAGGCAGGCTTCAGGAAGTGCAAATCATGTGCCAGATTGCAACTCTACGCTACGCATCATCATAGAACAGAGCATAGAATGGCAATCAGCTCTCTACCTCAACTTCATCGACCTTGAGAAGGCCTTTGACAGCGTCAAAGAATAGGTAATTTGGAAACTGCTTCACTACTACGGAGTACCACAAACCGTTATCAGCCTCATTCAACAACTATATGAAAATGCCACATGACAAGTACTTCACAATGGGAAGCTCAGTGATGCTTTTGAAGTGAAGACAGGAGTGAAACAAGGTTACCTAATATCACCCATGACATTCCTGATTGTGGTGGACTGGATCATGCAGCAAACAGTGGGGAGTTGTGAGAAGAGGGGGATACGCTGGACTGCGGAAACGAACCCAGAAGACTTGGATTTCGCCAACGATGACTTGTGCCTGATGTCACACAAACTTGAAGATCTACAGGCAAAAACTAACGAGTTGGTGGAAGAGGCAGCTAAGACGGGACTTCAAGTGAATATAGAGAAGACAGAGGTGATGAAGATACCGCACCACCACCATCAACAACAACAACAAACTCCAATCACCGTCAACGGGAGAAACTTGAAGGAAGTAGCCTCTTTCACCTATCTAGGCAGCGCTGTTTCAACTACAGGCAGCACAGGAACAGACGAGGATGTCAAATCCAGTCAGAATCGGAAAAGCAAGACAGGCGTTCATTAGCCTGAAACCAGTGTGGAGATCTTCTGCACTCAGCATGTAGAAAAAGATCCGGATTTTCAACACCAACGTCAAGTCAGTGCTTCTGTATGGCTCGAAGACTTGGCGCGCCACGAAAGGGATTTCCAATAAACTACACACATTCACCAACAACTGCTTACGCTCGCTACTGAAGATCAGATGGCCAGAATAGTAAGAATAAGCAACAAGGTGCTTTGGGAACGAACCAACCAAGAACCTATCACGCAACAAATATGCAGGAGGAAGTGGAGATGGATTGGGCATGCACTGAGAAGGCCGACTGAGGACATCACCCATCAGGCCCTCTAGTGGAACCCCGATGGGAAGCGACGAGTTGGACGTCCGAGGGTGACATGGAGGAGGTCTTGGGAGGGGAAATGAGAGGTTGTGGGCTGTCGTGGAACCAGGTTCAAAAGATCTCAGAGAACAGAGGTCACTGGAGACGTGCTACTGAAGCCCTATGTTCCAATAGGAACCCAAGGGACTATTAATAATCAAGTCATTGTGAAGATTATGACATCACCATGCAAAGCTACGTGCCACTTAGCGTCATTTCTAACTCACTTGCCTATTACACTATGGAAACAGAAAACTATTCAGCACCTTCGACCGTTATATGTGTCATTCTGTTGTCACAACCAGTATTCAGTACCCTCGAATGTAATATATGCAGATGACAAACACGACAAACCTGATCTTGTCCAAACAATGTAGTGAAGTTTACCATCTGTCAACTTACGCTAAAAAGAGACCAGTAGCAAATATAGGAACAAACATGGGCACTGTGATACATCGTAATTCCATTTCATTCTGTTTATCACATGTGTCACAGTGAAACAATATTGCTTAAATAATACTGTTTCACTGTGTGACACACCTAATTGGCGAATAGTGCGAAAATGCGAATAGTAGTCCCTTCAATTCAGAGATATGGCGATTTGAGAAGTGTGGTCAATCAGACTGTCACATTGAATTCTAAACAAACTAGTCGGGGTGTGATTTCATGACGAATTTGTGCCACGTTGATCATTCCAGCGTCCTTCCATACACTCCCTCATATGCTTTCAACAATGTCGATAGGTCAATCAGTCAGTAATACGATTCAATTTGGATGTTTTTGATGAGTTGACTGACTGAAATGTGATGATTAGATTGAATGAAGTTGCGACGGTTGTAGTATGTCTCGATAAGATGTGTGAATAGAGGAATGATATCGGACAAGACGGAAGCAGATCTGAAGTCAATGAAGCGGACATTTAGGAAATCGCCCATCTCCATTCGTCAGTGACTGAAACGCTGTGACTAGAGGGATTACTAACATCTTGGTGATAACAAACAAACTAATTTGTGCTTTAGTATGATGTGAGCCAGTTGTATTAAATTAAGCAAGTGCATTAGCGTGGTTCAGTTTATCCTAGCGACGAGGTTGTTAGGTTCTATGAGCATGTCAAGACTGATTGAGCGTCGTGTCGTATAGCAGTACAGCGCAGTAAGATATATGTCTGAACGGTTTTGACTATCTTGTCTCAACATAACCGACTCTCAGTATGCATTGTAAGTTGTTCTATATTTTTTCACTCTCCAAACTTGTTCTCAGTTGGATGACGTTGTAAAATTTGTTAACCAGGTGGTTATTTGAGCAGGATAGTGCATTTTTCATCTACTGCGATCCTAGTTAGTTATCTAGGTTGAGGTTTAGCGAAGTAAGCAGGGAGATGTGGCTGGACACCATCTTCAGGGCTACAGACATTTAGGTTAGTGCGTATAGTGAACTCACCGGAGGGGAAATGACAGATTTTTGAGTACGTTATAAAACGCTATGCCTAAGATAAGGAGAAGCTTATGCATGTTGAGTCAGCCGATAACTGCTGCGTAGTCGATGGAAAAGTTTTGATAGCTGACGCTTCGAAGATAAGTGTATTCTGTAAACCGACATTAGTTAGCTGCTGAAAAGTCATTGCAATGCTGCGGCTGCAGATGGATCTCTGAATACACATGGACATCTTCACTATCCCCATCATTGTGTGAATTACTGGATGTCAATACACTTGCTTCATCTTGATTTCGATATGAGTGTGGACTTACTCCCACTGAGATAAATCTTTCTCAATCTCCTTCGGCCCCGAATTCTTTAGTCATACTGTTCTTACTAATGACTAACATCATCGGTTATATGGTATCATTTCAATCCCCCCTCTGACTGACCACAGTATTCCTAACCGAATCACTTGCAGACAAGCTTATGCTTTTATTGGCTGAGAGTTGTTTTCCATGGTATAATTCAAGATCCCCTACTATCGACTGTTTTCTGGTTTTTGTTTCCACCTCATAGTACTACTACAAGTCTGCTATTTACTCACTCACTTTCTACAATGCGTGTTCTCCCGTTAAACAGTCTCCACCTAGTGATACATTGACTTTCAGATGGAATGAATTCATTCCACGCTGCAAGCTGTGCTGTTCTTGCCTTCCGCAGAAATGTAAACAGGACGGGGTGTTATTGGTCTCAGTGTAACTGGATTTCGTTATTCACTGGCTTAGACTGTGGAATGCTTATCACATATACTGTACGTGCAACACAAAAAGACACTGTCGCATTGACTGCAGTCAAAATATCCTGTTAGAATGTGTTACCGGAGGTCAAACCGTTTGCCTACAATGTAGTTAAAGTTGTAGTTAAAGTGTAGACCAATATCTTGATATACATGTCGAACTCCGAAATTTTGGACTTCCATTGTAGTAAGTGCGATGTAAGTGTGGAGAGTTATCAGTTCATTAACTTCGCGAGGTAAACACTACTTCTCCCAGTGATACAACAACCCAAACAGAAGTTTAATGCTAAATACACCAATATTTTAATCCGAATAATGCGCAATTTTATTTAGAAGAGAAATTTACTTGTTTGTGTTCTTCATATTCTCACTGCCTCTTTGTATATCGGACAATTTGATATTGCTCATCGGTGTTTGTTGTGCCCCGAGTTGAAATGATGGTGTTGATGGTTGATTGCGTGTCAGTTGACCTGCTTCACTAACAGACAAGCCACGATACTGTCTCCATGGTTGTGATGGATACTGACAGTAGAGATTGAGATCATATGGCGAAGATTGTATGCATTTGAGAATCGAGCCAACTGACTGCATTCTATACTGGCGTACATTGGAAATACACTGGCCAGGACTGAGGAGAAGATATCGGCCATGAAAGTTGGAGCGCCTATATGAAAGAGGAAGAGTTATATGAAATCAAGTGTCACCATATAGTAGGTCATGGCGGTGCAGTAAATAAAGTCTACTTAATTTTAAATACTATGTAAACACTCGAGAAATTGTGAGCATTGTATTGACACTGACGAGTGTTGGATACACAGCCTATAAATTTAATTTCTGAGCATTTATGACCTGAAGCTTCATCTTGTTTCGTTTTATTTTGTTTCTCTGCATTTTTAGTTTTGCACAAGGTTGTGTGGATGAGATATTTCTCTCATGCTTTTGTGGTTAGTATATGAGATTCTAGTTTTAAATCTTACCTGCAGCGTTTACAGAATCTCTATGGTGGTGATAATTGTCTGGAAAGTATAACTTTGGTGTAAAATTCCTGTTGTGTATCTTGTTGTGTGATGGACGCAATACATCGTATGAACTGTTTGTGAAAATGTGAAATGTGATAGTGTTCTTTTCCTAGGATTCTTATACCTATTAGTAAGTGTAACATGCCTACTCGGCAGCGATTCATCTTTGAGACTGATATCTCTGGTGAGAAATTATGTTTAAAATTAGTTTGAATCAGTGGGAATGAAAATAAATCTGTTTATACTGGCCATCCACTCAATATCTAAAACCTGAACTTACTTGATGAACAAATTCAACTACTTTCTGCAACACCTGTGTCGCCACATTCCTGATTTTTCACTGACTACTTTGGTATTTATTATATGAATTCAAGTCCTTCTTAGGTACATCAGGAATTCTCAGGACCGACATCTTGTGGAATATGTGTTGACAACTTCTTTGCTGAGTTAAAATCACATTAGTCATGAGTACTTCCACTGAAAAAATGTACCCAATGGGTAAACTGGTAGGGAATGTTGAAGAGATTGAATCCATACAAAACTGCACACTCTCGTAATCGGTTTGTAAGATTGTTGCTGATTACAACTGAAAATGCATAACAAACTTACTCCACACACCAGTAAAACAATGAGTGAGGTTGTCTGATGATCCGATGTGAAACCTGTAGTTGACATCAACATTCCATTTTGCCAAACTTAGAGAAGATCTAACATTCACTATTCACATTTTTTCCTGGTGCCATATTCTTTTAACCTCGCCTTTTTAACCAGTTCACTTGTTACTAGCCGGTCTTGAGCTCGGGTAAATAGGGAAATTTTGGCACAGTGCTGGCAACCCTATTCCGGAAAACCACTCAAATAGCTAAAGAATCTTCGAAGCACAAAATATCTAAGAAAACGAAAATGAATTTATTCCTCGCTGGAATCGGAGAGACGAAATGACGCCGGTTGGTGAATACCTTCGGCAAGCCAGTTGGCCGATGTGTCTTCTCTCGATGAATGCAAAAGTAAACATGAGGACATGGAGTTTCCGTGCCATGTCTGGATCTATAAAGGTTGCTTAGATTGCAAAAGAGATGGAAAGATATACCGTAGATGTACTAAGAATCTGAGAGAACAGATGGAATGGAAGTGGACTCTCCAAAATGTCAACTGGAGAATCAATAATCTACTCCCATATTGTCATCAAGATGACAACCACGAGCACACTGAGTTTTGGAGTGGCTATCATGATGTTCCTAGGAAAGGGCAACGAAGGCTGTCTCTCATGCAGTGCGAACCAATCTCCTCCTGGATCATGACAGCAAAAGGAAGGAAAGTCACAATCGTACAATGCTGCGCTACGCACCTACAAATAATTAGGCAGACCAAAAGAAGAAGGAGGAATTTTACAGGCAACTGCAAATCAACACTGGACAAGACCCCACCTCAGTTGGTGACATCAAAATTCTAATGGGAGATATGAATGCCAGCCAAACTGGGAGCGGTCAACACAGGAAGAGAACTCATCGTGAGTCGAGAAGCACTCGGTGAAATGATGAATGAGAATAGAGAATTGTTTGGAGATTTCTGCACATTCAGCGATTTGGTGATTAAGGGCAGTGCATACAAACACTTCTAAGGATATTCACAAGGCAGCGAGTGACATGGAGTCAATTTCACCAGACACCAGATGAACACACTACACTAAAAATCATATCGACTTCATCTCAATGTGAAGAAAGTGAAGACGCAGTCAGCCTAGTGGACACAAGATGAGATGAAGAAGGGGAGCAGATGCAGGTTCGGACTATGCATTATCTATTGCAAGGAACCTGCTTTCAAAATCAAGTTGAAAGCCTTCACAGAAGTTGGTGATGGATCACAGTTGAAGTTGAACACCCAGAATAGAAAGTGAACTGAAGGACGGAACTGCAAATGATATCTTCACCTTGTCAGTCATAAAGGAAACATGGGAGACATAAAGCGAAGAAAGCTGAAGAAACCTGTGTGGATGAGCACTGGAACTAATTGAAAGCTGTGTGTAAGGAAACCTGCATAACTGTGTTAGGAAGGAAGAAGAAACGAGACAAGACAAGACAAGACCAGGCAGGAATACATCTCGACGGACACATGTAAGCTGATAGAGGAGGGAGAGGAAGCTGGTGAAGTAGAAGATGAACCAGTGCAGTGGAGTGCAGTATATTTATGAGAAACGAAAACAGGACCTGAATACAATGTATAAAACACTGGACAAAGAAGTGAAGAAGAGTGCGTGCAAAGACAAAAGACAGTTTTGTGACACACTTGCAAGTGAAGTAGAACAGGTTGCAGGTAGGAGAGACAGAGACCTGACAGCATTATATGAAATAACCAGGTTACTATCTTGGAAGAGATCAACACACATGAAACCAATGAAGGATGATGGAGGAAATTTGATTACGAAAGAAGAGAAACAAAGTAAATGATGCAGTGACCACTTCAAAAAGCTGCTGAATCGACCACCACTTGCATTTCGTCCAGAAATGCCACCAGAAGCTCAGTCACAGAACTACCAGTGAACACAGATCCTCCGAAAAAAGCAGAAGTGAAACTCTGGATGCCCAAAGTTACTGAAATCCGGGAAAGCAGCAGGACCAGATGAAACTCCTTCAGAAGCACTAAAAACAGATGCAGAGACATCAGTGGACATGCTCACACCACTACTGCAGCAGCTTTGAAAGAAGGGAAAGGTAGGGTCCCTGTTGATTGGAAGAAGGGTTACCTTGTCAAACTCCCAAAGAAGGCTGACCGAAGTCTTCGCAAGAACTGGTGCGAAGTCATACTCCACTCCTGTCCATTCTAAGCAAGCAAAATATTAAACTGCATCATCCTGCAGAGAATAAAATGTGCTCCAGATTCAAAATTACGACCGGAGCAGACTGGGTGGCTGGCAGGCTTCAGGGAAAACGAATCAAGTGCGGATCAAATTGCAACGCAACGCTACGCTACACATCATCATAGAATAGAGAAGGGAATAGGATGGTAGTCAACTCAACCTAGCTCAACCTCAGCCTCAACTTCATCGACTTTGAAAAGGCCTTCGATTGAGGCGTCGACTGAGAAGTAATTTGGTAGGCAGCTGCTTCAACACCACGGTTCCAGTGCCACAAACACTTATCAAACTCATTCAACAACTATATCCTATGCCATATGATGCTACATGACAAGTGATTCACAACGGGAAGCTCACTTCACTGATTCCTTTGAAGTGAAGACAGTAAGGAGTAAGACAGGACTGCCACCTACTTACTTTCACCCATCATCTTCCTCATGGTGGTCGATTGGACTGGACTGGACAGGACTGGACTGAACTGGACTGGAGTGAACTGGATCATGCAAGAAACAGTGAGGAGCTGTGAGAAAATGGGCATGCGCTAACTGGACCGATGACGAGACCCGAGAAGAAGATGTGGATTTCACCGACAATGAGGATTTGTGTCTAATGTCTTATGTCGGACACAATCGAAGATCCATAGGCGAAGACTAACAAGTTGGCAGAAGAGGCAGTGAAGACGTGACTTCAAGTGAACTTCAAGAAGACAGGCGGTGAAGATACGCAACCATCAACAGCAAAGACACCAACAACAACAACAACAGATACCAATCTTCATCAAGGGGATAAATCTGAAGGAAGTTGTCTGTTTCAGCTGCCGATGCAAGGCAGCATAGTTTCAACTACAGGCAGCAGTGGGGGCACAGATGAGGATGTGAAAGCCAGGATCGGAAAGACAGCTAGACAGGCTTTCATTAATCTGAAATCAATCAGTGTGGAGATGTACTGCACTCTAGTGCACTCTACTGCACTGCACTCAGCATAAAGCGTGAACAACATCCACATCTTCAACAATAATGCCAGTCAAGTGAGTGCTTCTGTGTTATGGTTGAGAGACTTGGTGCGTTACGAACAGCATTTCCAACAAACTGCACACCTACATCATATCAACAACTGTTGCCTACACTCACTCGATACTGAAGATTAGACGGACACAATAATAAGGATAAGCAGCAAGGAACTCTGGCTGACTGACAACGAAACAACCAAGAACCCATCACCCAACAAATATGTAGAAGATGGTGGAGATGGATTGGACTGGACAGACACTAAAAAGACCTCTCGGGTATATCATGAATCAGGCCAGGTCATCGAGTGTGACTGAAATGGGAAGCGACGAGTTGGGCGTCTGAGATGAGAGTGATATGGTGGAGATGGTGTGAGGAAGAAATGCAAAGTTGTGAGGAGTGTTGGAGCCAGGTTGAGCAGACTGGAGAGAAGAGAGTGAAATGGTGAAGTGCTACTGAAGCCTTATATTCCAGTAAGAACCCAAAGGAAAAAATAAAATCATAAAAATATTCTTTTATTCCATCTTCGTGTCACTTACTAAGCGTAGTTGTTGTTGAGGTTGAATCATGAGACTTGTTCACAGGTATCTAGAGAACCTACACAACTACATTCTCCTGCTGATACATAGGTCAGACGAGAGATTCTGCTGATGCCAGATTATTTTGAACCTCAATAGAAGTTTATTACAATACCTGGTAACATTCACTCATCATAGATCATTGCATAAGATGAGAATCAGTTAACATGTATGAAATATGTTGTGTGTTTCATAAAGTGCATACAACGCGATCAGACAGGAAGCAACTTACTCATATACCAACCAATAGTTTGGATTCGCATATCGCATGGCTCCAGGTGCACATACAGATTCAGTAAACCACACGTGATATGGTGACAGCGCTTCATTACTGTCACACATATCAGACCAATAACCTCGCTGACTTCTTTCACTATACAACCGGAAACACTGTAACACGGTAAGCTGCGCCTGTAGTAATTGTGGATGTGTTCGTGGTTCAGTTGCATTATTAAGTGTTTCGTGTGTTTCGGTGTTCTCGCCTGTCGTATTGACGAATGCTTCAGTCTTGTTGGCTTCTGCTTCCAATGTCCAGATACGAGGGTAGACTAGCGCAATAATGACTAAAAACAACATGTGCGATTGTGTCATTCTCAGTTCAGATATGAGAACATCTATCACTGACTATTTTATACCAGTTTGACATGAATGTATCATGTGCTTAATGTATGGATATTTTGTGACCTCCGTAAAAGTTTGAAACGGATTGTGTTTTAGTGTGCATGGGGAATAGGGTTGAAATTGAGCTAAGTCGAGCTGTTTGACACAGTAAATTGCACGCACGTGTGTGTGCCATGATCATTTCATAGATTATGTAATTGTCTCCTTCCACTCGGCTCACTTGGGACGTGATCATAATCTCATCAGAAGGATTTGTCTGTCACGTTCTTTTCTAATGCGGTTAATCATCAAACACGATTGAGAGTAATTTAAGTGACTATTACAAGAACAGTCATTGATATGCATCAACGAGAATTCCTCATTGCTAGCCAATTCTATGCTCTGTTTCCATTGATGCTGAGGTTGCGATTATGCTTCACCAATGCAGTTAGGTATGCAGTTAATCGCAGCCAGTGTTTCACCTTCTTGACAGTCATCAATGTTCACCAAACTGTATCAGTTGAGGATTTTTCTTCATCCACTCTAAAATGCTTGAGTTGACATGAAGTCGACACTTTGCTTCACTATCGAATATATGTGTACAGAATCGTGCACTGGATGTTTGTCACCTATGTGAATTATGTCAACTCTCTAAATATCGATTCGTTATCATCAGTGAATCAGTCTATCAAATCTTATGCGGAAATCTGAGGTCATGTCCTAGTTTCACATTTTGGTTGTTATGCTGTGGAGGAGACAAGGTGGCTCACCCCAAATACAGTCCTATGGAATGTCAATATGCAAAGGTCAACTTACACACTATCTGAGTTGGACGCTTTGAAGGAGGAAGAGGAGACTAATTCGGTCATTGTCTCCGATAATCAAATGGACACACGTGGGAGATGTGTTTGATAATGAACTGAGAAGACTTCGGAAAGTGCTCGCTGTTTCAAAATTATTACCACTGTACAAATCTTGACAAAAAAGTAATGCTGAATCAAAATCCTGAATGATTTCTTGTAGTACCAAATTGGAAATCGTTTCCGAATGTTGAGTTGAAAATGTATAAGGTGGGAGGTCTATTTGCCTGTATCGTTGTGAAGGAGATTTCTTTCAACTAAGCTTCAGATTCTCTTCTGCAATTGGCAGTTAGTGTGCGGTTGTGTCAAGGATATCCTACCAGTTGAGGCCACCTCAGTCTGTTCCTACAAGTTCTCCTGCATAAGAGGCGGGGAAGGGGGGGGGGAATGATATTCACCGTGAAAGCTGAGATCTTTCCAAACTCATTTCACACCAACAACCCGTTTTTTTATGTCAAGAGTGTACTTCCAATTTATCGACAGTACAACACTAGAATCCCCTTTCAGTTCTGACTGGAGAACTGCGCCACAGTCATCGTTAAATACTGTCTACATATTCTAGTCGACTGGTTGATTCAGAATGTATGCAACTTCACAACTTGTGCATAGTAGAGGTGTTGGCGAATTGTCGACTCGTGTCTGTTCCTGATGTATTTATAAAATCCCTGATTCTGCCTCCAGTTTAATCGCCCTTCCCACCACTACCATGTTATTTTAATTGGTAGTAGTTATATCACTATTATCATTTCTATCATGATCTCTATTTCCTTATTCTCCTTCCATTGATGTGTCAAGTTGACACCTAACTGTCATCTATTCACATCTTACTAGGTTGTATGCGTTTACTTCCTTATGGAACATTTGGGGCTAGGTAGTTACATTGTTACAAACTGTCTACCACCCAATAATGAACTACTAGCCGTTTCTAGTGAGTTTAAGTGCGGCTATGCAGCTTCAGTGAGTGAAATCATTGAAAGGATTTTCTCACCGCTGATTTGTCTTCCCCATTCTGACCACATTTGATTTTGCTATGCCATATAAGAATGTCTTTTTATCGTCTTGCTAAAAAGAGATTGTACAGCAATATCTTGTAGATTGATTCAGTGCAGATGGATGCAAATGAAACAACATCAACTTCTCGCATGATTTACTTGACAGTGTGTATGTACTTCAAGAAGACTCATTTGTCGTAGCCCCGCTACATACAACTGAACCATTTAAACAGTGTTTAGATAACGCTCATCTTGCTTTCAATAAGCTGTAGCAAATGTGGAAGTGTAAGCCATAATTGTGTAACGTAAAATAAATTATTCATACCCAATGTTTATTAAGGTTCTGCCTTTTTCCAAGTCTGCATCCGAACCCATTCCAGTCTTCAATTGATTGTAAAGCTGTTGCCTCTTGAGGAGATACCAATTTATTCATACTTTTCTCAGCGACACCTGTTCACTCACCGCCACGTTTGCTATTCATTCCCGAATTCCACATCACTCTTACTTTGCCAAAATTACTTAATACCAATAACAAATATTTAATATCTTGTAAATAACTTTCAACCTAATATTATATGCCTGAACGAAGTCAACCAAGAATTAGTATTTTGGAAGTTATGTTTTCGTTGCTTGATGATCAGTGGTAGTCGATAGAGAGATTTGTGACTATGTTTCAGGCTTTCTGTCAGTCGTCAGTGAAGCATATCTGCAACCTTGAAGGGGCTGGCATTCCACAGTCTCATATCACCGGTGTTGTAGTCGAAAATATTATCATTGAGGTATTGAAGTCGCGACTAATCTACTGTGGGACTGGATGAAATAAACTGACTGATCACTGGACAGTAACTGATTCCACCGTTTCTACCTTGTTGACCCTATTGAATAGCATCCGTGGAGTCCCGTCAACCCCTGAGACTAGATAGAATCAAACTGCACACGCTCCAGTGACTAATCACCGCATGTTGAATCTTTCATCATGAAATGTAAACACTAAGTCAATTTTAATGTATAATCAAAATTTGGGTGCAGGAGGAGATTTGGAGTCCATTTTCATGTGTTCATTAAGAGTGTCACAGTGACCATTTATTTGGTAACAGTTTCATGTCTGTTCGCATATCAAGGCAAATCCACAAGTTTCAAAGTATGAATGGGAATACTTACGGAATAAATTCAGCTGTTGATTATTTTACGGCTTCCACTCTACTGAACTGAGCTAAGAGCAAATATAAAAGTAGTTTCGAATAAGATGAGAAATACTTTTTTGTGTTGAAACAAAGTAGACGTGAAACAGGTACCTCAGCAAAAGATACTATTTTCGGTGATATCATTCTCCTGGCTGTACAAACTCAAATTTGAACACTTGTCTTCTCTTGTTAGCATTTGGTTGTTAGTAATGGAGTAGTCATACATGGCAACGAAGTAATAGGGTAAATACATGAGATGTCGTTAAAGTAGAAACTTGTGATGTGAGGTAAAGATTCATGAAAACACGATGGGAGTTGCGTACAGATTCCTGAGATTGGATAAGCAGTTGAGTAAAATGACGAAACATTTCAACTAAAGTATGATAAGAAAAATTATAGTAACTAGAAAGAATGGAAGACTGTATAAGAAGCCAACATTACACAAAGAAAGAGTTGATTCCAATGAATGTTAATTAAGACCATGGAAGGGGAACAGGTTGAACACATCTCCTCTGTGTAAGAAACTGAGGTTTCTTCCAAGTGATACCAAGAGTTTTAGTGATGTAGGAATAACGACGACATGCAGCTTTTGGAAAGTTTCTGGTACCTTTATGGATGACTTTGGATGGATAGGTTCTTGAGATTATTATTATTATTATTAGTCCCTTGGGTTCCTAGTGGAACATAGGGCTTCAGTAGCACGCCTCCAGTACACTCTGTTCTCTGAGATCTTTTGAACCTGGTCCCACGACAGCCCAGAAGCTCTCATTTCCTGCTCGCACGACCTCCTCCATGTCACCCTTGGACGTCCAACTCGTCGCTTCCCATCGGGGTTCCACTAGAGAAAAAGGCCTGATGGGTGATGTCCTCAGTCGGCCTTCTCAGTGCATGCCCAATCCATCTCCACTTCCTCCTGCATATTTGTTGCGTGATAGGTTCTTGGTTGGTTCGTTCCCAGAAAAGTTCCTTGTTGCTTATTTTTTCTGGCCATCTGATCTTCAGCAGCGAGCAAAAGTAAGCAGTTGTTGATGAATGTCTGTAGTTTATTGGAAATACCTTTCGTGACGCGCCAAGTCTCTGAACCATACAGGAGCACTGATTTGACGTTGGTGTTGAAAATCCGTATCTTGTTCCGCATGCTGAGTGCAGAAGATCTCCACATTGGTTTCAGGCTAATGAATGCCTGTCTTGCTTTTCCGATTCTGACTTTGACGTCCTCGTCCGTCCCGCCTGTAGTTGAAACAGCGCTGCCTAGATAAGTGAAGGAGGTTACTTCCTTCAAGTTTCTCCCGTTGACGGTGATTGGAGTTTGTTGTTGTTGTTGATGGTGGTGGTGCGGTATCTTCATCACCTCTGTCTTCTCTATATTCACCTGAAGTCCCGTCTTAGCTGCCTCTTCTACCAACTCGTTAGTTTTTGCCTGTAGATCTTCAAGTTTGTGTGACATCAGGCACAAGTCATCGGCGAAATCCAAGTCTTCTAGGTTCTTTTCCGTCGTCCAGCGTATCCCCCTCTTCTCACAGCTCCCCACTGTTTGCTGCATGATCCAGTCCACCACAATCAGGAATATCATAGGGGATAGTAGGCAACCTTGTTTCACTCCTGTCTTCACTTCAAAAACATCACTGAGCTTTGCATTGTGAATTACTTGGCGGCATGTGGCATCTTCATATAGTTGTTGAATGAGGCGGATGAAGGTTTGCGGTATTCCGTAGTATTGAAGCAGTTTCCAAATTACTTCTCGGTCGACGCTGTCAAAGGCCTTCTCAAAGTCGATGAAGTTGAGGTAGAGAGCTGATTGCCATTCTATGCTCTGTTCTATGATGATGCGAAGCGTTGCAATTCGGTCCTCACATGAATTGTACTTCCTGAAGCCTGCCTGTTCCGGTCGTAGTTTTGAGTGCAGTGCATCCTTAAGCCTCTCCAGGTTGATGTAGCTTAATATTTTACTTGG